GGGGGGGGGGGGGGGGGGGGGGGGGGGGGGGGGGGGGGGGTGGTCAACGACTGAAGCTCCGTTCGGTCGCGTAACATACGTCCAAAATGCGATGGTTATGGCTTAAGAAGCTGAATAGCAAATATAAACGTAAGTGAATGAAAATTGTCCTACAAAAAATACACTGTGAGCAGGGAATACTCTTATTTTTGATGGTCTTGCCTGAGTGAATCTGAGAACGAATAAGTTCAATTAGATTTGCGCTAAAGTTCTAATGTATTTCGTCAGTAAGAAAAAGAGGGGAAATCAGTCTCATTTATGAAGAGCAGGCTTAGTCGAAGCTGTGAACCAGTAAAATGCTGTTTTTTACGAACGTTAAGGACGGAATATCAACTGATCAAAAGAAGAGTTGGCTAAATGCATTGGGGTTGGAGATGGACGTTGCTCCTGTGTAATTTGGAGGGAAGAACCAAAAATGTAAACGTTGCACACAGTCTCAAGCCGCTTACACAATAATTCCAGTATTTCGGCTTCCACAAAAAATGGACGCTAACACAGTCCCTTATTGCGGAAGCCGAAATACTGGAATTATTGCGTAAAACCAGTCAAGTTTATTCATTTTCAGTTTCAGCTAAGCATGTGCGTTATAGTTAGGGTACTCCGCTATCGACAATGGGTTATTGACAAGACAAATTCCATTCGCACAGGCTGAAATTTTTTTTTTTTTCGCGTTTGGTTTTATTTCTAGGCTCTTTTTTCTGCTTTTTCATAGGTTCAGTTTTGCCTTAATTTGCTTTGTAGTGCTGCATTGTCCCCTTCTCTTTCCTACTGTCTCCAGTAGCTGAACACTCAGTCTCCTCCAGGCGTCTCAAAATCTATGTAACCGCACGTCTGAGAGGCCAGGAAATCCATAAAGGCGTGCGTATTGCGCGGCCGAGCCGAGTTTCCGTAGTTGTTTGTCCCCTTCTCGCTCTTGCCTTGGGTCCAGTGGTCGAATTCCTTATTAAACCGCTCCTCCCCCTCATCTACCATCTCCAAATTCACGCCCCCATCTCCGCGGGTGACGTTTCCGATCACCTGTAGTAGTTCTCGTGATCCGTGTATCACCCCGGCCGAGCCGAGACAATATTTGCCAGGAACCGGCAACTTCATCACTCTTCATATTGAGGTTCATTATTCTCTTCACTGCAGTGAATGCATTTCATCCGTTCTTTTGACATTGCGTGGGTTTCAATCAGTAATCCTCCCTGCTTTATCTTGTTTTTCATTTTTGCTGCACGATCATTACGGTTGCTGTTGATCTGCATTCCTCCGACAATATCGCTCACGCAACATCAGGGTCATAGTACTTCATCAGAGATGTGCCGCAACCTGCCGTTAACTTTACCACGCTTCGTCCCACGGCTGGTCGGATCACCGCTGACTTTTTCTCCTAATGGAGCATTCCCTTAAGTGCGGCAAAACTGAAAATTTTATTTTTATGGTGATGTTGTGTTAATGTTGCCAAAAAGTCTTGTAGTTTGATGAAGTCTCTCCACTGTATTTTTTTTCTTTTCTTGTTTTTACAAATTCGACTCGTTATTCATTTGTGTTTTTTTTTTTTTTCTACCAACTAGTTATAGATGTCTACGAACTTGACGGCAGGGTCAATTTGGAGCAGCACATAACCTTCATCCTTATGGTTTTTCTTTCCATGAATTTGGAGTACAGCATTTCTCGCGTCGATCATAAGCTCATTTAACAGTTCCTTAACGCCTATCGGTTTCTGTGACAAGCATAACATCGTTTTGCGGGAATAAATCATTTAAGAGATCACGTAGCCTGTAAAAAATCGCTCCATGGTTCCATTTTGCATAAGAGGTTTTTGGGGTGCTCTGTTTTTTTTGGGAACAAGGATTTCTGTGTACGACTCGTTGGGGAGCTTTCGATAATTCGAATTCGTTTCGGATTCATCTCTTGAGAGAGCCTGCAGCACTGTATTCCAGTGAGTCGATGGTCTGACACAGAGAAATGTTGGGAACTCTGCATCTTTTTGTCATCTGCTTTACGGTGAAAATGCGGTTAGTGTTGGAAAATAACTTTCCCAGTTCGGCTTGTATTGTCCTCGAGTTTTCATCAAAAATCACCGGTTCTGGATAAATTACGTGTGTAAAATGCGCGTAACTTATTTGGATTGCTATCCATAAGTGATGTCTCAAATATCTTTAAATGGAACAGTAGGTAAGGCGATAAAGTGTGAATGTTAATGTTAATCTTTACATTTTGAATTGACAGAAATTTCAATATTTCACGTTGAATTGTGCCGCTGCACTATATTCTGCTATGCAGACGATTTTTGTTTACAAAAAGAAGCAACATTCTGGAAAAAGGTATGCAGCTCGTTTTCAAAACTTGTTCAAAAATGCACATATTTTGCAACAGCATCTTCCTACCTCTCGGACAGTTCCAAAAGTAAAAGACGAACAGCGGATGGAGTGTTGTAGCAGCGTAATAAATACAGTTGTTCCTCTTTCTTGCTTCATCGCTTTTTTATGCATTCATCTACAACTCGCCGGAAATGGTAGCGTGTTCCAATGAGATTGATTACAACGAACTGTTCATCACTGCTGCTGCTAAACAATATCAGCGCTTCAGATCTGGTAATTTATCCTTCCTGATGCGTCCATTATTCGCTCTTTTTGCCCTTTTTCCCAGCTTTATTCTCCCCTCCCTTCCCTTCCGATTCGCTCTACCCCCACATAAGACTTACGTCAATATAACAAGTAATAAATATCAGCACTGTAGTAATTGGTCGTGCGTTGTGTTCAAAACAGTGCAATAAGGTTACCATTCAGAGCTAAAAAACGCTGTCTATTTTAAAACCAGTTTTTTTTAGTACGATAAAGACAAAATGCTTCATTTCACGTTTCTGGCAATTTTTGGATGAACAAATCTTGTAAATTGGTTTCTGCGATTCGGTGCTAAAAACATTAATGAAGAAATTACTGCTAGGGCGATACCAGTTTTAAGCTTACACCATCAGGAGATGGGCACATTTAGGTGCAGGATGCAGTCATGCGAAACTGCTTTGTTTGAAGCTATCAGTCTGCTGTCTCCAGTGTGTGCGCCCACCAAATTTCCGGAAGCAGCGTAAATAGTCATTTCCCTTGTTGGAATTACTCGATGAAATGGGATATTCGCTAATTATCAGCAAAATGAACGAAGTGTCACTCCCAACAGTCGTACGTTTTTACTGTGCAGCGATACAGTGAGTAAAAACTCACACTGTCGAGAAACTTGTGGTATATATAAATATATGTATATATGGACTTTTTCGCTTACTTTCATCCTCCAACCAAAACTGGGAATTGAAATTTTGCGAGCGTGTTCTGAGCATACATATCATCCTTACAACCTAAAATCATCACTCACGTTCGCCTGGATTTCACGCACGGAGGCTGGAGAAATTATGCAAAGTTTGTGGCGGGAAAACGATTTTCAGAAGCAGAAAGCAGGACTTTCAAACTGACGTTCCCTGTCCATGTGTGAACTAAAGATTTCAAAACAAAATAACGACAAAATTCAAAGTCCGCACCGCACCAACTCGAAAACTGGCCAGAAAGCAGCAGCTGAAATTTCGTCAGAATATTTATTGTCTGTCTAGGGAATCGTATACCTAAATCGAGTTTCGATTTGCACGTGGGCACTCCAAAGATATTTGTATC